TACACCCAATGAATCTCGATTTTTGCGCGCAATTATAACAAAGCAAGACACGATGATTGTCTCTTGAACAAAGTGCAAACACTGTCTTCTTTACTCTAGCGTGCAGTAACGGCTCTGAAGACTCGAGTAGCTAGCGGTTTTAAAGGAATGGTGTGCGCTAATCGAGGCTATCTTTTCCATTCTCGCTATATTAACAATTAACCCTTTGCGTCCATGATTTCTTATATTTGATGCAATATTTTGAATTCTTACTGTTTAGCCTACAGGTAATTACAAATTTTGATAATAGCTTGCATATTTCAGTGTATTAATCGACCTTTTACAAGATTTCAAGCTGCTCCTCGTTTTATCTTACCCTGCCCCTGGCTGTTTTCATCACAGAGAGTGTTTTCTTTTGTTCCATTCTGTATGGCGAAGCATTGCCTTCTCCTTCTCCTTTTCATTCGCCTCAATTTAAGTTCGGTTAATTAAGAATACTTTAAACAAAAACAATTAACTTTAGTTTGAGCTGAGTAACATTCAATAACTAACATCAAAACACTCGCGCGATATTTCGTCTTGGCGTGTGATATTACTCACTGTTGGTGATAATCATTTTAGCCAAATTGCCTTGTTCTACTTTTCATTTTACACCATTTTTCTGAGTCAGTTTGCGTTGGTTGAAATTGTTACAGGGAAACCCGTTTTTGCAATAATGGATGTTTTGTTCCTGCTTTTTCCACGGCTCAGCCTAGAACGCGCTAGGTTTTTTGTGTTTCAACTAATATTTTGACCTGAAGAATGCTCTGAATTGTTGTACGCGACTTGTGGTTAAGAGATCCAATTTTAGCTGCATTTTTGACATGGCTAAGACTCATTGTAAATTATGCGTCTAATGCAAAGCGGATCTTTTAAAACTTCTTACATAAAGATAGAAAACCAAACAAACATTGTTTATGAATTCTTGTTATCATTTGCCCGTCGTTTCACGTATTCAGTGTACAGTCGAAAACTCTCGAAAGCTCCGGGAATGCAGAAGTATACAAAACTAGGCCAAATTTTTCACGGTTGAGATCGAATCACAATCTCACTTAATTGCCGTCTGTCTCCATGGCGACAAACGGCACGTTTTTGTTCTATATGTTCCTAGAGCCGCACGTTTAAAGTCAGCAATTCTTTACGAAAGGTTTCATCAATACAAGCATGCGAAAGCTGACGTGAAATATGTATGAACTACATGACGAGCCGCCATTTAAAAAATCGTCGAGGAGAAGGCCCTGGGGATGAGGCGGTATTGAATTGGAGAGGATCATTTGATCACACGACTGAAATTGTTAATATTTTATCCCACTGAAATCATTCTACGTTACATTCATCTGAAGATAAAATAATATTTATATCTCCAGTAGATTGTGCTGACTTTGATATCATACTCTTTTTTTTTCATGTTTACAACACTGATTAACTGAACTACCTAGAGGTTACCTTATTGTTACAGTTTGTCTTTCGATTTCACCAGGCTTAGTCGAAGGAAATATCGATGTATACAAGATATTCTTGGATTCAGAATAAGTGTAAAAAAAAGATGATTTAAATCGAAGATCCACATGCATTCCAAACACTCGGTGTTAAACAATTTAACAGTATTTTTAAGCTTTTATGCGTTTCTTGTTAAAAGTCTGGAGCTTTTAAAGCTTCAATGACTGTATGTTGCTGTGCTTCACGTAGCGATTGTTCGCGTACAGAAAGACAAACTAATAACAAAAAACTGACTCTGAGAAAACTATATACAAAACTCAACGAGAAAAAAACTTTGACAGCACGAAGGTATCCCACTAGCAACCAGCACTAAAGTCTAAATTGCCTGAAGCAAATATATGATCTACCATAGACAATGGTGCATTGACCAGGTTGGTCATAAACTGTTTGTTAAATGCACCGTGGAAACTCTCCTTAGTTTCTACCTACTTGCTTGAATATTAAATAACTCCTTGCTATACAGTTTTTTTTTATTTACGATTTCCGCACAGCCTCGACATACCACTTTTCGTGCCATCGGGTTGCGTAACCGGCGGAGCTAGCAAGCTTTCTGTGGCCGGACATCGGCGAGTTTTTCACAGTCGCTGGTAGCCTGACCTTCTTCTTCTTCTTTCTCTTAACCAGGGCTTCCAGCTTCGCCGAACCGTGGTCATCCTTTTCTTTTCCCTCGTCCGTTTCCACCAAAGAAGGAAGCTTGTCCGATTTTTCCACCTCGTCCCGCTTCCAAATCGAAAAGCTATCGTACCCGAATATAGGACGATCTGGAATCCGGTCGGACTCCCCTAAGGAGAGTCGTAACTCTTCCGGCTCTAAATGAATCATGTAATCCGGACGTTCGTACACTTTCGATTTTATCAACGTCTTGTAACTTCGCTTTCCATACGTTACTTTGTACCTCTTATACTTCTCCTCCTCGCTTAGTTCGACTTCCTTGTCTGTACCGTCGTCATGGTAATACCATTCTGGTACCTGATACTCTTTTGGTGTCGTGTTCTTCCTTTCGTTTTCTCGATAGCATAGAAGGTTCTTTCTTCCTCCTGCTTTCGCCAACTTCACGTATTTAGAGTCGGTCTCTAGAATGCGAATGAATTTCTTCTTCTCTTTCAATTCTGTGCTTTCCTTTGGCGCCTCCTTTGTTAAATCTGGTACTTGTGAAATAGGAATTCGCTGTACTGGTTTTGAGTCTTTCCTTTCCTTTCTTTTACTCGGAACATAGTAACAATACCATATTTCTTCGTTTTCTGGTCTGTCCAACGGCTTGTAAAAGGGCTTCACCATTTCAACACTACGAGGAAACGTTCTATAAACCAGTTATTCTAATAAACGACCTGAGGAGATTGATTTATCGATAAAACGAAAGTTATCTCAAGAACTTGGGCCAACGTTTGCGAGCGTTTTGGAAATGTAAACTTCTGCAGACGTGATCAATTATTCCATAGGAAGTTCAAGTCATTATGTTTATCTAAGTTTGGCAAGTGAAAGAAAAAATTGGCGACTGCAAACTGTTAAAACTGTAAACAAATTACGGAGGGTTTATGCCAAACTTGAAGCTTGAAGTTTTATAAAAACGATGCTGTTACACACAGCTTAAAATGAAACTGAATGCGATTCTAGTGAAGCAGCAAGTTTCCCATTAAAGATTTATCTAAGTTGCTTATTAGCGCTTGAAATCAAGCAAGATTAGAACTGATGCAATTAAAATCAAGAAATGTAAGTAAACATGCGTCTACGATTTTAAGGACCAAACGTTAAATTTTTGGTAAAGATTTCCACAGAATGTATAAACACCATCTGCCGACTTAGTGATTACAAGCTGTGATTAAAACAAAACATTTCTTCTCAAGTAATGCCTTCATCGCTTCACCACGTTCAGATTTAAAGCTTAGCTCAACAGCCTAATAAAATCTCAATTTTCATGGTCACTTACCGTTTAAATTTGGTTGTAGTCCATTTTTTCTCATCACTAAATTCACACAAAGAGCGCGCGCGATAATTTGCGGTCGTTTTATCAGCGCAATTATGACGTAACTTCCACTAAAACTACATCCCGCAACAAAACGTGACGTTCTTCAATGGATAACAATCTAACCGAGGTAATTTGGTTACATTAATTGTTAATGATATATGCGCGAAGCGTTGTTTTGAATAGCACGGCCTGTAATGATGTGCTTAACATTTTCGGCGTCCGCTAGGAAATAATAGCTAAATATTAATTGGTAGTAGCGAGAGCAGAACCAATTATATTGAAGTTTAGCTGTGGGGGCCGGCTTGCTACAAAATTTACATTTGTTTAATTTTTTTTCGTTCGCAGTCTTATAAAACTTCGGCTTGTTTAGTTCAGATGTGCGTAGAAATTAGTACCTTGCTCGATAACCGTAAGTTTGCTAACTTCATCATTAGGTTCTGAAGTTTGTGATCAAAGAATTCACCCTCACAAGAAGACACAGGTTTCGTAAAAACGACAGAAGTTGCATTTGCACTCCGGCGATATTCATTAAAACCTGTCGCGTCACGTGATATCCCGGAACTAAAACTGAGGGCCCCATCCACACTTCACCGGAGAAATTTGAAAACGGAGGTTTCACTCTGAAAGCACATCAAATGTTTTCCGTCCACACCACGCCGAAGGAATTTGAAAACGCAAAAATCAACAGTCATTTCGGATTGGTGTTTGAGGAAAACTCGGGAAGGGAAATCACGTGATTATCGTGACGTCATCGTCTTCAAAAAGCTCCGTTTTCAAAATGTTTTCCATCCACCCTAAAATGCAAAGCAAGCGTTTTCAAATTTATCCAGTTTGAAGAGCGTTCAGTCGAAAAGCTCCGTTTTCGGTCCGGATTTGTGTGAACGGTAGACCTAACCGTAGCTGCGTTTTCAAATTCCTCTAGCGTAGTGTGGACAGGACTTAAGCAATACGACTAACAAACGATGCTCTATTTATTCATCCAGAATTTGGGCAGAATTTCTTCAGGAAAACAACCACGTAAACCGATGTAAACGCGGCAATTCGCGACTAAGCCAAATTACAATATTAAGCCAATGACCGGTTTGATCGACTTCGACTGACTAACAGGGACTGAAAAAGAAGGATGCCCTCGCGGGTAAAGACTGGCTTAGGGGAAAGTTTTTTGGTTTTTGTTTTGCAATGTGGGGCAAGTTTGTGAACCAATAATTGAGATCAGCATTGCTCGGTCTTATTTAAGATCGTGTCTTGAGTTTCTATTTAAGTTTTAGTTTGTTGCTAAGAAACGAACAATTGCAAGTCGCTTGCATGCAAAGTAGCGTGAAGTGACGCAAAGTCAGTAAGAATTCTTGTTACCTGAAAGCTTAACAACTGTTTACACAACATCAAAGAAACATGGCAAGACGATTAAAAGTTAATTCGAGTTAATCCTAAGTTAATCAAAGCTTGCGAAGCAGTAAACCCTGCAAATCAAAAGGATAACAGAGAATTCTTATTGCCTGAAATATGAACAGCTGTTTACGCAAAATCAAAGAAACATGGCAAGATGATTACAAGTTAATTCGAGTTAATCCTAAATTCATCATAGCTTGTGAGGGGCTGACCCTGCTAATCAAATGCATGACAGAGATGATAGCACTATTTGCAATAAAGAACAAGGTCAAAAACAACTGTTTGAACTATCAAAGAAGATATGCACAATAAGAAGGAAAAAAGAAGACAGAAATATAGGTTTGGTATCGCGTACTTTTTTTGCGCGCGCTTCAGGAGGCTAGCTTCAATTTTTTCAAGACAACAAAACGAATTCCACCTCTGGCATGTAAAATGTAATTTTATTACGTAAACGTCTTGGACATACATGATTTTATCTATTATTTAAACAGTATTTACATCCTGATCGGTACATCTAATTTTTCAAAAACTTTTAATAACTTGAACCATTTAGTGGAACAACTACCTCTTGTGACTGGCGTCCAGTCCATCACACTGACTGCAGCCGCGGTCTACCGCAGATGTCAGTACATTGTTTGGATAATATTCAGAAAAAAACTAACCAAGGAAATTGTTTGAGTTCTGCTATCGTTGATTTGTCTACAACGGCCCTTAGATTACCCACCTTAATAGGAATGTACAGTGATTTAGACGAAAGAAAACGCGTAATTTGTCGATTGAGCGCCCGTCCATGAATAAACACTGGTATAAAACATGGAATTTCAAACGTAAACTCGTACAACTACAAGAATTGAGGTAAGAGAAGGCGGGACTAATCCAGGTTATTTTTTGTCAAAAATAAAATTTTCTCAAGATAAAACTGATTCAGTCCTGGAGATTGACCAAGGGAAACCTAAAATTTGAAATACGCGGACGGGGCATTGATGGAGGAAATACTTCACGTAAACTCTGATACAAAGAACAGATATTTATCATTCACTCAATTTTGTCATATTTTACACGTAATGAGACAAAAATCAGGTATATTGTTCAGTTATTGTTCGTTAGAACGGGCTACTGTTACTTTATCAAAATAAAAGGCAATGAAACTTTCCAAGTAAGAAAATCTTGAAACAGTCGAAGAGCATATGAATAAGCTTTTTACGCCAGCATTTGTTGGTAAGTCAGTTCTCGCATGCATTTATCTACCTCTATATAAGTCAGTTCTCGCATTTATCTACCTCCATATAAGTCTGTGATCGCTTCTGGCTTGTCCTCGACGCGAGAAGTCCGACCAGTGGGATGGACGCCATCTTGGGTCTGCCTCCGAAGTGAACCCGGGAAGGTAACGCGTGCGAGGAGTCACGCTCGCGTCGGTGGCGTCCGCGCGCGGCGTGGAATTAGCTTCTATGTAATGGAGCAGATTCTTCTGACCTCCTGCTTTGGACAGCCTTATGAAGTCAGAATCGGTCTCTCGGATCCGAGACTTTGATTGCTTCACTACTACGTGTTTGTCATCCACGAATCCCCCTAGACAGCTCACTTGAGAGATAGGGGGAAGTTTCAAGCCTCCCTGGGTGCTTCCGTCCGCAGGGAGCTGCCTTCCCCCCATGGATATCTGTGAAATCGGAGGCAAGACCCCCGAGGGATATTGAGTCCGTTTGTGGCCAAAGCTCTGTTCTTTCAACGCGGCTGCTTGAGACATGACTTGATTTTTGTGTTCTTCTATTTTGTCAGCCCTTCGCTTCTGCTCGAACTCGTCTGGATCCACGCGACTCTGGGGCAAGCAGTCAATTTGTGAGATGCGAGGTAGAGTTGTTGAATCGACGCTTGGAAAATTACGCATGAACTCGACTCGATGTTGAAATCTGGAGGCTTCAGAGTGATTCAGTTTACGTTATCGTTCCGTGGTGATGAAGGAGGGAGTTGGTAGTATTGCAGCCAATATTCAACTCGGTCATTCCACAGANATTAGCGCTTGAAATCAAGCAAGATTAGAACTGATGCAATTAAAATCAAGAAATGTAAGTAAACATGCGTCTACGATTTTAAGGACCAAACGTTAAATTTTTGGTAAAGATTTCCACAGAATGTATAAACACCATCTGCCGACTTAGTGATTACAAGCTGTGATTAAAACAAAACATTTCTTCTCAAGTAATGCCTTCATCGCTTCACCACGTTCAGATTTAAAGCTTAGCTCAACAGCCTAATAAAATCTCAATTTTCATGGTCACTTACCGTTTAAATTTGGTTGTAGTCCATTTTTTCTCATCACTAAATTCACACAAAGAGCGCGCGCGATAATTTGCGGTCGTTTTATCAGCGCAATTATGACGTAACTTCCACTAAAACTACATCCCGCAACAAAACGTGACGTTCTTCAATGGATAACAATCTAACCGAGGTAATTTGGTTACATTAATTGTTAATGATATATGCGCGAAGCGTTGTTTTGAATAGCACGGCCTGTAATGATGTGCTTAACATTTTCGGCGTCCGCTAGGAAATAATAGCTAAATATTAATTGGTAGTAGCGAGAGCAGAACCAATTATATTGAAGTTTAGCTGTGGGGGCCGGCTTGCTACAAAATTTACATTTGTTTAATTTTTTTTCGTTCGCAGTCTTATAAAACTTCGGCTTGTTTAGTTCAGATGTGCGTAGAAATTAGTACCTTGCTCGATAACCGTAAGTTTGCTAACTTCATCATTAGGTTCTGAAGTTTGTGATCAAAGAATTCACCCTCACAAGAAGACACAGGTTTCGTAAAAACGACAGAAGTTGCATTTGCACTCCGGCGATATTCATTAAAACCTGTCGCGTCACGTGATATCCCGGAACTAAAACTGAGGGCCCCATCCACACTTCACCGGAGAAATTTGAAAACGGAGGTTTCACTCTGAAAGCACATCAAATGTTTTCCGTCCACACCACGCCGAAGGAATTTGAAAACGCAAAAATCAACAGTCATTTCGGATTGGTGTTTGAGGAAAACTCGGGAAGGGAAATCACGTGATTATCGTGACGTCATCGTCTTCAAAAAGCTCCGTTTTCAAAATGTTTTCCATCCACCCTAAAATGCAAAGCAAGCGTTTTCAAATTTATCCAGTTTGAAGAGCGTTCAGTCGAAAAGCTCCGTTTTCGGTCCGGATTTGTGTGAACGGTAGACCTAACCGTAGCTGCGTTTTCAAATTCCTCTAGCGTAGTGTGGACAGGACTTAAGCAATACGACTAACAAACGATGCTCTATTTATTCATCCAGAATTTGGGCAGAATTTCTTCAGGAAAACAACCACGTAAACCGATGTAAACGCGGCAATTCGCGACTAAGCCAAATTACAATATTAAGCCAATGACCGGTTTGATCGACTTCGACTGACTAACAGGGACTGAAAAAGAAGGATGCCCTCGCGGGTAAAGACTGGCTTAGGGGAAAGTTTTTTGGTTTTTGTTTTGCAATGTGGGGCAAGTTTGTGAACCAATAATTGAGATCAGCATTGCTCGGTCTTATTTAAGATCGTGTCTTGAGTTTCTATTTAAGTTTTAGTTTGTTGCTAAGAAACGAACAATTGCAAGTCGCTTGCATGCAAAGTAGCGTGAAGTGACGCAAAGTCAGTAAGAATTCTTGTTACCTGAAAGCTTAACAACTGTTTACACAACATCAAAGAAACATGGCAAGACGATTAAAAGTTAATTCGAGTTAATCCTAAGTTAATCAAAGCTTGCGAAGCAGTAAACCCTGCAAATCAAAAGGATAACAGAGAATTCTTATTGCCTGAAATATGAACAGCTGTTTACGCAAAATCAAAGAAACATGGCAAGATGATTACAAGTTAATTCGAGTTAATCCTAAATTCATCATAGCTTGTGAGGGGCTGACCCTGCTAATCAAATGCATGACAGAGATGATAGCACTATTTGCAATAAAGAACAAGGTCAAAAACAACTGTTTGAACTATCAAAGAAGATATGCACAATAAGAAGGAAAAAAGAAGACAGAAATATAGGTTTGGTATCGCGTACTTTTTTTGCGCGCGCTTCAGGAGGCTAGCTTCAATTTTTTCAAGACAACAAAACGAATTCCACCTCTGGCATGTAAAATGTAATTTTATTACGTAAACGTCTTGGACATACATGATTTTATCTATTATTTAAACAGTATTTACATCCTGATCGGTACATCTAATTTTTCAAAAACTTTTAATAACTTGAACCATTTAGTGGAACAACTACCTCTTGTGACTGGCGTCCAGTCCATCACACTGACTGCAGCCGCGGTCTACCGCAGATGTCAGTACATTGTTTGGATAATATTCAGAAAAAAACTAACCAAGGAAATTGTTTGAGTTCTGCTATCGTTGATTTGTCTACAACGGCCCTTAGATTACCCACCTTAATAGGAATGTACAGTGATTTAGACGAAAGAAAACGCGTAATTTGTCGATTGAGCGCCCGTCCATGAATAAACACTGGTATAAAACATGGAATTTCAAACGTAAACTCGTACAACTACAAGAATTGAGGTAAGAGAAGGCGGGACTAATCCAGGTTATTTTTTGTCAAAAATAAAATTTTCTCAAGATAAAACTGATTCAGTCCTGGAGATTGACCAAGGGAAACCTAAAATTTGAAATACGCGGACGGGGCATTGATGGAGGAAATACTTCACGTAAACTCTGATACAAAGAACAGATATTTATCATTCACTCAATTTTGTCATATTTTACACGTAATGAGACAAAAATCAGGTATATTGTTCAGTTATTGTTCGTTAGAACGGGCTACTGTTACTTTATCAAAATAAAAGGCAATGAAACTTTCCAAGTAAGAAAATCTTGAAACAGTCGAAGAGCATATGAATAAGCTTTTTACGCCAGCATTTGTTGGTAAGTCAGTTCTCGCATGCATTTATCTACCTCTATATAAGTCAGTTCTCGCATTTATCTACCTCCATATAAGTCTGTGATCGCTTCTGGCTTGTCCTCGACGCGAGAAGTCCGACCAGTGGGATGGACGCCATCTTGGGTCTGCCTCCGAAGTGAACCCGGGAAGGTAACGCGTGCGAGGAGTCACGCTCGCGTCGGTGGCGTCCGCGCGCGGCGTGGAATTAGCTTCTATGTAATGGAGCAGATTCTTCTGACCTCCTGCTTTGGACAGCCTTATGAAGTCAGAATCGGTCTCTCGGATCCGAGACTTTGATTGCTTCACTACTACGTGTTTGTCATCCACGAATCCCCCTAGACAGCTCACTTGAGAGATAGGGGGAAGTTTCAAGCCTCCCTGGGTGCTTCCGTCCGCAGGGAGCTGCCTTCCCCCCATGGATATCTGTGAAATCGGAGGCAAGACCCCCGAGGGATATTGAGTCCGTTTGTGGCCAAAGCTCTGTTCTTTCAACGCGGCTGCTTGAGACATGACTTGATTTTTGTGTTCTTCTATTTTGTCAGCCCTTCGCTTCTGCTCGAACTCGTCTGGATCCACGCGACTCTGGGGCAAGCAGTCAATTTGTGAGATGCGAGGTAGAGTTGTTGAATCGACGCTTGGAAAATTACGCATGAACTCGACTCGATGTTGAAATCTGGAGGCTTCAGAGTGATTCAGTTTACGTTATCGTTCCGTGGTGATGAAGGAGGGAGTTGGTAGTATTGCAGCCAATATTCAACTCGGTCATTCCACAGACCCAAATTTTGTTTTTCTGAGAAAATAAATTGTGAAGCAAGGTCAATTACTATGCCCTTGCAAATTTTACAACCATCTCTACATCACCATGGCGACGCACAACATCCCAAGACTCGTTACATTTTGATTTTTTTCTCTTGTGAGCTTTCCTGTGGTTTTATGGTGTAATACTTTTGAAAATAAAATAATCTTCTCTGTGAAAGAACTACGCTACACGACCACTACATTATTTTTTGTTTCAAAAATATTGAGGCTGAAATTGGTGAAATTTTGAGAATATGTTAGGAATATACCCACGGCTGAAATTTGTTAAGAACAGTTTTGCGTGTTGATGGGAAATAAAATACAACAAACTCACAGTGTTTTTAAATGAACTATCTTTCGCCATTGCAAAGTACAGTAAATTCTCTGCTTTTTAACACGGTATTCTATTTGATAAATCAATTCTTCGTCACATTCGTTATTAAACTGCAATACATGTACTCAACTCTGTAATCTATAAATGTACACAAGAATATTTTCGGCTTAATGTCGGCAGAAAAATACGTAAGCTCATATCCAGCGTGGGTATGAAAAATATATGTTCGTGTGAAAAAGAACTTAAAAGTTATTATAGAAGCACAGTATAGTTAACCAAATTGATATATTGCTGTCAGCTGATAAGATTTCCCTAAGGGTTTCACTATTAAATATTATGGACGAGATCGCGCCTACTCAAGCGAGGCAAACAAATCATTGTCAATGACCCCCAGGGAATTGCCACAAAAAGGAATAATTTAACGTTGTGGCCGGACAATAAAAACCAATTATCAAGAAAACCAAACCAGGGGATTAACAACACACAAACACTGCTGTAATAAATAAACCTGAGATGTACAACTTGAAAGATTACTGTTCAACTAAATATAAATCTTAAATCTTGTAACTTAACCAGTTAAACATGAAAATTTGCCTGTCATTAAGCCTAATTTCATATTCATTTCAATGTGTTGCTGAGTTGCACACACGTTAAGCTTCACGTTTACGCGCGACAATAAATGAAAACGTACACAACGTGAATCTAAAGCTCTGCATTAAACTTTGCGGTTTTGCAAGGGAGAGAGCATTTACCGATTCAAACGATTTTCGCAGAGCGATGAACGATCGAATGAACGCATATTTCTTGATTTTCATCAGTCGCACAAAGATCGAACGGTAACCGCCACAAACAAAGGCTCACAAAACCAGCTAAATATAGTCACCAGGATGTAAGTTTATTTATTTATTGAATTGCGAGTTATCAACTTTCTGTGCATGAATCGACATGAGCGACGCCAAATTCAGTAACCAAAAAACAATACAGAACTGCACAGAAACAGAATTAGAAAACACAGTAAGCGACGAAGGTTGTCAAAGCTGAATTTAAATTTACGGTAAGTTTAAGTGTTCTACGGGGAAGCTTAAATCAAACGAGCGTTCAGTTAGTGCAAATTTCGCTTACCTGAGCACTTGAGAGGCTTCCTCTCTAATTACAACGGGGAATCAAATCCACCAGAGCCAAGCAAAGTTACGGAGGCCTGAAACGCGCTCTATAGCAACGCGAATCAACAACGACTCTGTCAACCTTCGCTCTCAGGTCAGTTTGAAAATGAAGATATGTCATGTACCCCGGATGTGCTGATGTGACAGATCAAATCGGTGTCTGTCTGCAAAACAAAGACAATTTTCCTTTCAATTTTTTTGAGTAAATAACATCGTACCGCTGTTTACTGTTTACACGAAAACTAGTGAGGTTTTCTAAGCAAAAAATGAATAATTCATTCCTCAGTAATGGGATTTTGACGTAGAGAGGACGAAAACATTTCTGTGTTTACAGTCTTAGCCGTCACCGTATTTAACATTGTTACACACTTCCCTTTGTTCTGGGTGTCAACCCATTACTGTTTTTTTTTTTTTTTTTTTTTTTTTTTTTTTTTGGTTAGTCCCCGTGCATTTAGTGCTTGGGCCATAAATCAAAGGGGGAAAATCTTGGTCCATAACTTACAGTGCAGACCTTAAACTCTATTAGTAAGAGATATGTGCCTTTTAAAAGTTCCGTTACNTTTTTTTTTTTTTGGTTTGGTTTTGCTTTTTTAAATTTGAAATTCTATTTTCCTTCCTCTTTGATAAATATTTTTGTGCAGCTCCGAAAATGTAATTAGATTGGTAGTATAAATATTGTTATCACAGGATTAAAGATAAAAATATACATTAGTTGAACACCCCACAAAAATAATGAACAAAAGGTTTAACGAGATTTCCCATCGCTCACACAAGACATGCAGAAGAAACAAAGCCCCAAATACAATACGTCATTTGTTACTTAGCAACAACACAGGCACCCCAGAATCACATTGTGACGCGCAATGGGAAGGTTACATAATTCTTCGTTCTAAACTTTTTTGGGAATACTGTGATGTTTTCTGTGATGTTAAGCCACCGCTGGTTGGATTTAAGGTAATTTCAATTCATTTATACTGATGTTGCCAAGCAAACTTTGCATTTTGACTCAGCAGGAGTGGGATGCCTGTGACTGTCCTTAGCCAATCATCAACGGCTTTTTCCATGTTACTATGAAATCTGGGGTAAACATAGTTTTGCTTCGTCGTGTTGACAACTACTCAAAGCCTGAAACTCGGGTCATTACGAAAACCTCGATGACATTAATCTTCGGGCTCTGTTTGATATTATAAAGGCTTGCAAGAAAAAAAAAACCAATTCAAATGAGATTTTTGTTTTCGTCTGGAAGAAGGGCCACAAACTTCACAGAATTATACATGCAACGTTCAGACAACAATTATCGTACGCTTTTCTTTTTACTTTCGTCACTTTTCAGTTTCCTTTATTGTTTTCAAGATTCCTCAAAAATCGCAACAATTAAATCCGCCGATTTTTTTTCTCAGGAGAAAAGGTAAACATTATCTGCGCTATAACAGAATACTGAAAGTTCAATGCCTCATAACGCGAAATGTTTCCCGCGCAAGTTCACAATTTTTTCGCACAATTCAACCCTAAATCTAAAAATTATTAGAATAAACCGCAGGTGATTTTCACCATAAAGGTGTTTCTGCATGCAAAACTCTTCTGTAAACAGGGGAATCTTCAATATGTATGCAAATTAAAGATCTAATGAGACGTCCCCCACCTGCCGATGATTTCATATCACTAAGCAACCTGGAACCAATTTCAGCGGTTTAGCTTTTGTAGCTTTGTTGTGCAAAGTAAAACTAGCAAAGCGAACGTGAAGGTTACAAGCTATTGCCAAAGTAGAGACAACACTATGTCACCCTTGGTGGAACTTTCTCCAGACGTGTGAAAAGTTCAGACATTGTCGTTGTTGATTCACAGTGCGAATACAATTCCGACATCGCCAAAATAATTCTCAATACAATTGAGAATTTTCAAAGATAAACCGAGGCTAATTAACGCCGTTTTGTGCCGAACTACTCGTAGTTACACAACTTAATGTCACAAAAACGCCAGGCTTCCAAGGTAGAATTTTCACGCAGCGAAAAACCAACCCGACACCCGGTACGTTCTTCGCAGACACCACGCATAAAATCGGCGATTTTACACGGGAAAGCTACACCATTACAGAGTTACAGAGGTGTACATCTGATGCGCTTTGAACATAAACATGGCAAAGATGGCCCAATGGTCGTGATAGCAGAGGAATTGCCTTTTCGAACACACGAGCACTTGAACAACACTGAGTTGCCAAATGTCAGCGAACAAGCGGGAAAGCACTTCAATGTCATTTGCTCTTATAAAACAAATAAAGACTGCGTAGACGTGGCTCCTACGCGTGGTAAACAGAGTTAACAGGCATCTAACAGGAAAATTAAAACTTTACTAAAATCGTTTTAATGTAAAGTTTACTTAACATTCTCCGGCTGGAATTCCTGTCACCCAAGATGTTCTTTTATGAGGTCTTATCATGTTCGGGAGGATAATAATACGGCGAAATGGACGATAAAAGGAATTATAATACTGCAGTTAAAAAATCCACAGGCAATTTCTTGGCTCTATATAGAACCGAAGGACTTTGAAAAAAAATAGTACCCTACCAGGAAAACCAGCGAAAAGAATATCTCAGAGAAAACGCAATTGTGGAAATTCACAGTCCAAGTCTAGAGCTTGCCAAACAATCCGCATAAGGCCCCTTGTACACTGTACTACGCCGGAGGAATTGGAAAACGGAGGTTTCACTCTGAAAACGCATCAAATGTTTTCCGTCCACACTGCGCCGGAGGAATTTAAAAACGCAACAATCACCGGTCATTTTGGATTTGTGTTTGAGGAAGACTCGGTCAGGGAAGTCACGTGATTATCGTGACGCCATCGTTTTCGAAAAGCTTCGTTTTCAAAATGTGTTCTGTCCACGCGAAAACGA